TTCCCCTTCAACAATAAGATCCCCCACAGTAATAAGGATAACCCTTAAACAAAAAACATAAGATCTGGAACCAATGATCTCTAACTCTACTAAAGAGAGAATCAATACTCTCAAAAGCTGACTGTTCCTATCCTTCCAAATGACAAAGGAGATAACCAAAAAGATAAAAGAAACTTCAAAATTATCCGATATGATATGTCATCTTTAACGGACAAAATTCTTTTTTTAATATTTAAGTGACAGAATTCTTGTCATGAAACTTCCAGTTCCTAGGTCCTTCGAAACCTCTCTTTTAGCCACTGTTTTCTTCCAGCAGATTAAACTAAAAAGCAAGCGGAAATTTAGCGATTGCATTCTTCAAATGCATCACTGGCAGCAAAATAAGTTAAACTTAGCACCTTGAGCACAATATCACTGTAACGCTGAAACTCTGTTTTAATATCCATAGCATCATCTACTGAGACAACTACAAAAAGCCCCCTTCTTCCATAATCCCCCCATCCTACATTCTTCTTTACCTAGCAACCCAACTAGTTGCCATGGCACTTAACTAACCAATTGCAGCCACTAATAATAACTGGCACTGCTAGTTTTTCCATGGATATCCTACCCCCAAAATCTATCATATCTCAAACTGCAATCAGCCATCAGCCAATCCCAATGTTTGCATATCCAGACAAGCACACTTCAAGAGCATGTGATTTCATAAAAATTTGTCATTCAACTTCTTTAATTGTTATTCATTTCTGCATAATTCTTCCTGCGGCGAACAATCGTGGCGAAAAAACACAGTGAATCAAGAACTCAAATAATTTATTTTGGTTTCTTTGCTCCTGAGAACGTTAGCAATGCAACTTTTTTAATTCCCAGAAGTAACTGGTTGTTCTTTTCCCAACAAAATCCATTAAACTTAAAGAAATAGCTCGACTCTAAGCTTAAATTAATGCCTGCTCCCGCTTCGTGATAATAACAAAATTCAAAATTAAGTTTCTCCCCTTTCTTTACTACCACCCAAAATAACCTA